GTATGTATAAGAGCGTTTACTATAATGGTTTCAGTGGAAGAAAAAAACTGGAAACAAATTGATTGCCTACCAGTACGGGAATGCTTGTATAAATCACATCTACCCACACTGAGGAATAGTCTTCTTAAAGAATGAACTAGAGTTCATTCTTCTAAGAATGAACTAGAGTTTTTACAATCCACTTGGAGAATTTTCCGTGAGATATTTTCAAGTGAGAAAAGCAAGATGTGGAAAAGTCTGTATGCGACAATCCCATTTGTAGGGAACAGTGGCAAAATTGACCCCTTTGGTATGTAGGCGTTTGTGTGTGTATGCGTGTGTGTGTGTGTGTGTGTGTGTGTAGGATACATAACAGGCTGTTAACATGGGTTAGGGGTAGAATGACGTCTATGGAAAGGATGTGAGCAAAACAGAAAACGGCAAAAAAACCTATACTTAAGAAAACATCCTATGTGGTGTGGTCCTGTTTCTGTGTTTGTGCAAATGATATTCATATGTATGTGTGCTTTGCTAAATTGAAAAGAGAGTTATGCTTTTAAAAATAACTGGAAAGGAGTGAATATTTTTAATGTCCTTTGATGTAATTAAGGAAGTAAAAGGGAATTTGCTTAGGAGTTGGAAAATGCCCAAGAGTGGGAAAACAAGAGACATAGTAGTCACTGCCGGCCCTGGCCAGCCAGGGAAGGCTCTGGAAGGTTTAGAAGGGAGGGGGGGAGCGGCTGGTTGGTGGTCTCGAGCCACAGTTGCTCCCTGATCTCTGTGCCTCTTCCTCCTGCTCCGGGAGAAATAATGTTTCCCCGGGGAATGAAAAGTGTCTCTTTGTGCGGACTTTAATTGCCATGTTGTTGTGCCAAGGGAGTGAGTGGCAGGCGGGCGCAGCAGCTGGGCACAGCCAATGCCAGGCAGTGGAGCCCGCTCCCTTAGGACAGCCTGGCCAGCTGGCCTGGGAGCGCTGCCCACCTCTGCCCCCAGCTGGGTGCCCACAGAGGGACTGGCCGTCCAAGGGGCAGGGGGCTCAGCAGAGGCTCATTGGAGGAGGAGAAAGGGGCGGGCATCTGGGAGGGTCTCAGCCACTCTCAGAGGCTTATTCATCTCTCCCTCCTGTCCCCTCCCCCCCCCTCTTGTTTTTCAGACTGTCAGCATCAATAAGGCCATTAATACGCAGGAAGTGGCTGTGAAGGAAAAACACGCCAGAAATATCCTTTTGGATGTTGCTTGGAAGACTGGCCCTGAAGGGGGGTCGGATTGTGGGGACTGAGGTCAGGGCGAGGCTCCCTTGCTCGGCTGCAGAAGGGGCACCCCACACACACACTGGCCAGGCCCTGCAGGTTCCAGCAGCTTCTGTGGGCAGCAGCAGGCTCTCAGGCAGCGCCAGCTGCAGGGACCACAGACCATCAGGGTGGCAGGGACCAAAGAGGCCCTCGACCCCAGTCCTTTCAACTTGGCAGAGATCCTGCTCCTCTCCTCTGGGACTCAAGCTTTTTAGAACCTCTGAGTCATTTGAAAGCCACTTTCACCTGTATTATCAAAGCCCTCCAGTTCCTGCACTTAGCCCACGCGGCCACATTGACCACCCTCCTGGGGACACAATCCTCTCCTTTTCTGAGCATGAAAGCAAAAAAAAAAAAGTCTCAGCTTTAGTGACTAATTGGCCTTAAGCAGGGGCTGAGGCAGGGGCTTTTGGGATCTGCCCTCGAGGTGTAGGGTCTACGAGCTTCAACCCCAAGGGCTGAATGAGAGGCTGCCAGTGGGGCTCGCGGCATCTGCGCGCTGGCAGAGCGAGGTGGAGTTCCAGGCACGTGGGGGCTGGGCTTCTAGCCGAGATGGGAAGATCCTTTTTGCCCAGGATTTTGGGTGCTGTGCCACAGCCGATCAGGCCAGAACAGCTTGTCCTGAAGCCATCCAACCTCAGCCCCTGAAGGAGACCTTCCAGGGTAGATGGCCAGAGAAGCCCAGCCTCACGCAGCATGGCGTGCAAACCGCTCTTTGCTGGAATGAAAGCAGCTTGTCTTTAGTGACAAGAGGCTTTGGCTGGAATGAGGCCTCTGCTGTCGGGTGGGGGCTATAGAATCTGCGGGGTGACCCTGCAGCCCCCCCCCAACAGCGAGCCTGGCTGGGTCTCACTCTGTTTTCCCCAGAAAGGCACGGTCCCCTTGCTTTACTGTGTCCCATTGGCTGTCCTTGCCATGATTAAAACCAAACCAAGAAAAGCCTTTATTTTAAGTGGCCCAGTTGATTGTCTCAGAAGGAATTACTCACGTCCGACCCCTATCTGCTAAGCATTTGTGATCAGTCTGATGTGGGATGTATAGAGAGAGACAGTTGTCATAGGCCAGTGTCCTCTTCTGGATGGGGGGTGGGCACAGAGAGGCCAGCCCTGCAGTGGCGGAACCATGTCCCACGCTGCAAAGGAGGCTGCCTGTGATGAGGGAAGGGACCCTGAAAGGAGTTTCTGAAATGCCACCTCTGGAGCTCCTGGGCTCACTCTGAGACCTTAGGTCACTTTTCTGTTAAATGAAAGAGTTGGCTGAGGAAGAGTTCAAAGATTGAACATTCCAGCTCTAACATTCTTTGAGTCTCTCTGATTTACAATTTCTAGATGATAGATAAATATTGGAAAGATGAACTCCATACAGCAGGGTTTTAAATACCTAAAGATATCACAGAACACTTAGTTGTCATCAGTTATCCTAGATGTCAACTGAATAAACATTAGTGAGTCTGACTTCAGAAATGCTGTTGGGACACTCATCACAGATGCCTAACTGGACGACTGGGGACTGAGTCTTATTTTTGTTTCTTATTTTCTTATTTTTCTCCCTGAGTGCCTTTTACAGTGCCTGACACGTAATTGAGGGCATAAGAATGCTTATAAAATCAAAGAGACA